CATTCCTGCGTATTTTAAGTGCAGCTGATTAAGCTGGAATTACTGATGGTTGGGTAGGGGAATGGTGTTTGTGCAGAAAGTTACAGTCGCATATTTAGACTGTAAGGAACCGTGGAACTGCCCTTTCCCTGTCCCACTGCGCTGAGTTTGGGTCAAGGAGCTGTGGCTGGCAGGTAAAGCAAAGCAAAGAGACCCCTGAATTAGCTCTGTGTTTCAAAGAGGTCCTTCTCCGATAGCAAGAGGGGGGAAGAAGGGCATCGGGAGATTTGGCAGGAGTCAACAGTCCGGTACTGGAAGGGCCGGCCTTAGGCAGGAGAAAGATTTTTCAGCACCTCCACGTTATTCAGAAAAAAGGGGACTTGGAAAGTGGAAAAAGTGGATTACACAGGTTTTGGTTCTTTTTTGTGAAAGTCGGTTTGATGCAATTAATTTATGAAGTAAAACAGAAAAAGTCTCTAAAAGACGCAAAGAACTGTTTATTGGATTTACATCTGCGGCCGTTACTGAAGGGGCGGTATTTTACGGTTGCGACACCGTACGTGGTTGCACCCTGTGTGAACGGCTCAAAGTCATTTGCCCTTTGACACTGCTTAGTTCATTATCACCTCGGCACATGAAGTCTTACTCTCTGCAAAACTTTGTGGATCCTGCTGTGATTGTAACGGGAAAGTAGTACATTCTGGTGCCATGTCTGGAAGTGTTTGATAAGAGATTATCTTTACTTTTTAAAAAAAAAAATAAAAATGTTTTATTGGGACGGTATCGATGCACTTTGCTTGTGGCTGTAACAAGTGTTGGTTAATGGACTGGTGTTTGTTGCCACGATGGTCAAGTCTCAGACGCAGAAAGCTCCTGTTTATTCTGAGTAAAGCAGCTGGAAGACAGCACATCTGGAAGATGACAAGGCTTGCAGGGTCTGAATTCCGGGTGGCTGACTCTCCAGAGGGCCGCGCCACCATCCAGCGGGACCTGGATGGGCTGGAGAGCTGGGCAGAGAGGAACCTAATGAGGTTCAACGTAAGCAAGTGCAGGGTCCTGCACCTGGGGAGGAAGAATGCCAGGCACCAGTATAGGTTAGGGGTGGACCTGCTGGGAAGTAG